AGCAAGTCTTGCTCTTCAGCAAATCAATGCACTTCTCTGTTGCAAGTTTTGCCAGCGGAGTTTTAGAACAGTTCCTGGTTTTCTTGGAAAAGCTTCGCCTCCTGGTTCCTTTCTGACCCTCCCATTTTTTTGAGCCACAGTGCAATACTCACTTTTCTTGCACGAAGTGCATTTGCAATTCTTGCATTTGCAGGAAACGGTGCAGGAACAAGAGCCACCTAAAGAGGATATGGGGAGGAGAATACAGAGTTGTGCCCATCACACTCTCGAGAAAGCACCCCCTTCCGTTCCCCTCCATTAACAACAGCAATAGTGATTTCTCTCATGTGGCTACTGAAGTTGTGCATCGAACACAGAGGCAAAAAGTTCTAGGGCCTTCAAGACAACTAACTTCTTGCTGTATTTAAGGCCACATTTAATTGTTAACAAAAAAACCAATCAAGAGTGCAACCCTTAAACCCAAGTCTGGGAGGGTTCCCCCTTCCCCCCCCTCAAAAAAAAATACCATTCTGGCATTTAAAATGTCTTCTTAGATGGCTAAGGCTTGATTACTTGTCTCTGCTGCAAGCAAGTTTTATAAAAGGAGTTTTGGAAGCCTGTCCTTCCTACCTTCTCTTAGGATGTCAAGCACTTACATCAGGTGTGGAATTTCTACCTGCTTTCATTCTGACCCTAAATGTGCCGTGTGTCGAATAGCTGTCAAAAATGCCTTTTCAGCATCCCTACGGACAGGGAAGAGATGGAAATGTCTCGAGTGCACAGGACCAACCTGTGGCCTTAGGGACATGCAGGTTACAATGCTGCCCCGTCATTTCCAGTCCACCCAGTTAGCAGGAGACATTAATGCAGGGTAACTGGGGAGACTGAACTGTTGGGAAACTCGGGAACACAAGCTACCCTGAAAGACGAAATAAATCCAATTAAGACAGCGGTTGCCCCCGCTTTAAAGAAAAATAGAACTGCCTGTGCTGAGTTGCAAGAAGCCCCAAGAAATCGGTATCGTTCTATGGCTTCTGAAAAAATGAAGCTGAGATCGCAAAGCCTTAGGTTAGAGCCTCTCAACATGGCACCCATGGGATGTGCAGGATTACAGCTCCCATCATTCCCCAACAGCATCTGTACTAGGAAATGGGGCATAAGTGTCCAGCTGCCTTGGCTATTCACTTCGGTTTCACATCTCAGCACAGAGACGAACAGAAGCCAAGACTTGGAAGATGCAGTGCAGCTGATAGAAGCAGAGAGCGTGTTTTTGTGGGTTCAAAATGAGGACCAGACTGCAGAAGTAGTAGTTCAGGCCCGCAGCGTATCCTTTTTTCTAGTATATGTCACTTAATACAGTTTTGTCTCCCCGCCCTTGCATTTTATGCGCCTATGCTGATGAAGATCTCTGTAGAACTCAGAGCCCTGCAAGTTTCGTGGAATTTCAGCTGGTCCTAATCAAGGTATTGCCCGGTATAAACTGTGGCGTTTCTTCCACACAAACCAGAACTACGTTCGCTTTATTCACTTAGCCCGGAAAGCAGCTCCAAGAAGCCCGGCCCAACGATCAAGGGAACAGCCCCTGGCGCAAGGCTCCTCTCCCCGGCCCCGCTAGGGGGCTCAGGATCGGCGCAGCCCAAGCCATCCTCCAACTCAAACGCGCAACAGGCGCGCTGCGGCGCTCCGCGGAGGACGGAGCCTCGTCCGGGCTCCGGTCAGGCGCTGTCCAGCCCCCGAGCCGGGGTGCCCGCGAAGGCCCCAGCCAGACCAGCGCCCCCACCCCAGGAAGCCCTGCTGGAGGGCAAGGAGGACCCGCTCACCAGTGGCGCAGGCGCAATCCTGAGGATCCATCCCGGTCGGCGCGGTGCTCGGTCGGCAGCAGACGTAACGGGACGAGAGAGGAGCGCAGCGGATGCCGCGGGCTCCCCTGCCGGCTCTTTAAGGCCGCGGAGGCGGGCGGAGCGGGTGCAAAAGGGCGCCGCCCCCGCCGCCGCCGCGAGAGGGGCGGGCGCAAAACAAACGCAGCGCGGCGCGCAAAAGGTAGCCGCGCGTGTGCAAAGCTCGGCCGCTGGTGCAAGGGGTCGCTCTTCCCCCCCCCCGCGCCCCGCGGCGAGATCTTGGTCGGGGTTGCCTCCTGCACGAGACCCTCCCGCTGCGTCCTTTGCGCTCGCCTGCAAGTTCTCGCACCTCCGCCCCAGCCCCGCTGTGCGCGGTCTCAAGCGGGGGCCCGATCCGATGCAGAATTCCCTTAGAGGAAGCCTCAGGCCTCCTGCGGAAATGGCACCCAGCCCTCTGCCTGTCTACTCAGAAGTAAGTCCCACTATGCTTTCGGGAACACTACTGCACCGTAAGCACACCTACTCCTGACTAAATGCCGTTGGACTTAAAGCGGGACTTTTTTCTGAGTCAACCCGTATGGGTGAGCAGAGCTGCTCGGGCTTGGAGCGCAAGTTTATTTTATTTATCCCGCGCAAGGCCTCGAGCCTGTGCTCACTCCATGCTCAACTCCCTGAAATATGCCTGGCGAACTGGAATTAATTCAGGCAAAAGCCGTGTGGGAGTAGATCATGCTGTCAACTTTATTGCATTCGCTTTTATACCGTTCAGTAGCCAAGGGCTGCCCCAGCGATTAAAGGATAGATATACAACCGATGTAATCCAATGGGTAAGGATGCACTTAGAACAGAAGGACTACTTGAACCTACATTAATAACTCTTATGAGCAGGTTACCCACTTCCTAGCATCCAGCATCTGGGTCCAGCATGCTGTCCCTGAAGTAGCTGGCTTGAGGCTCTGTGGGAGCCCCCTCCAGTCCCATGTTCCCCAGCAACTGCTGTGCATAGGCATCCTGCCCCTGATACCAGGGGTGGCATGTGGCCATCAGGACTTGTAGCCTTCCATGGCCTTTTCCTCCATTACTTGTCCAATCCTCTTTTAAGCTGTCCAAATTGTTCGCCTTCCACATGTGCTATATGAAATAGCCCCTTTTCTCTGTCCTGAACCTCCTACTAATCAGTGTTATGCTGTGACCCTCCACCCAATTTTAATACTATGGGATGGAGAAATTTTTCTTCCTTTCCACTTTCTCTGCACCATTTATTATACTGCCCATGTCTTACCTTGCTTTTTTTTGAAGAAAAAAAATGGTAACCTTTCACCATGAAAAGAACCATTTTGGTTGCTTTACTAATGGGTAGACGCCATGGAACACACCAGAATTTGTTTCTGAGCTGCAAGGTGACCCTATTTTTCTCTTTCTGCAAAAACTCTGGACAGAAAGATAAACAAGTGGGCTCTAGCTCGAACCGAGCCAGAACTTTCACTGGGAGCAAAAACGGCGACGCTGAAGCTGTTGTATCTTGGGCACATCATGAGACGGTGGGATTATTATCCTAGGGAACATTGCAGGCAGGTGAGGAAGCGGAAGACTGTCAGTACCAGAAAGGATGGTGAATCCATTGCATCAAGGAAGCTGCAGCCTTGAGCTTGGCAGAGCTGGAGGGAGCTGCCCTACATGCAAGGCCTAACCCTAAAGGAATAGCCAAAGGGTCGCTTGTTAACCTCACAGTGACCTGAGGACTTCCCTTCTGTTTGTGGGCGCAGGCTTGATATCTGTTCGTAATTCTGTGCCGCAGTCCTGGGGCATCTGCACAACTGGAAGAGCAAGGCCTTGGCCGACGGGCCGTCTGTGGGATTTCAGCTCCACTTGTCGCCCTGCCCAGGCCTCTAGGGAGCTTCCTGAGCGGAAGGCGACCCTAGAGGGACGGCCAGCTGGATTGCCCCCGGGCCTAAGTGCACCCCTGCTTAATTGGACTCAGTGCCCTCGGACCCCTTAAGGAAGCCGGCTGCAGTCCCGAGGGCCGGGTGAAGCAGCCCGCAGGCTTGGCTGGGAGCCGCTGGGGCGCTGAAACGCATTCACGGAGCGTGTCCCTTCACGGAACAGTCCGGGATTTCTTTTGCACGGCTGCAGATTATTGCGGTCGGTCGGTCGGTCGTCTCGCTCCATCCTTCAAGCTGGTCTGAAAAGAATTAAGGCAGCAAGGGAAGTTCACGGGACCTTCAGGGGGTCAAAGGGGTCCTTTTTTTTTAAGCACTAGAGCTGCGGATGTGAAACGCAAGTGAAATACTCATGAAATACTGTCGTGGCACAAAAAGTGCTGCTTGGCAAAGCCTACGAGAACTTTCTCTTTTCCTAACAGACTTCCAGCGCTGCAGTCTGTTAAAGTACACGGAGTGCAGGGCAGCTCCGTGCGCCTTGTTCTCCCGACCCCCCCCCCCGCCCCCCCCCCCCCCCCCCCGCCTGGCGGTGTGCAAATCTCGCACTCCCTGCCCAGTGCTTAGTGCTGGGTGCACATGCGGAGCGGATCGTCACACGGCGCGGCCCGCCTCCCGCACGCGGCTGTCGCCTCCGGACTTGAGAGCAGTGTGCAAACCGCCTTCTGGGGAGTAGCGAGTGCAGCGGGTCTCCCTCCCTCCCCCCTCCCTCCTGGGGAAATACCAGCGCTGAGTCAAGGATGAGTCAGCGCAGTGCAATAGGAGAAAGGCTGAGCTCGTCTGGGACAGATCCTGAGAGCTAAGCTAGCGCTTCCTTCCAATGCCCGCTTACTGGGTAGGCTGAACCCTGCCAGATTCCCGGATTTGTGAAGCCGTTGCTCGGGGAAGTGTTTGTGGCTTTGCTTCTCCAAGACCTGGATTGCTTCTCACGGGAACTGTGAACAAAAAGCTCTTCTAAGTGCTTTGATTCTCTGTCTGTATTGCTTTGACCGGGCAGGCGTGGACCGTGGGCAGTTTGACTGGAGCTTTTGCTTTTAAGACACGGCTCTCGTCCCATTGGCCGCCACGTAATAATGCGCTCCATCTCTTGCAGGGCTGAGCCTTACAGCTTTACTCACATTCCTGCATACCGTGGCCGAGGATAAAAAACTTTCTGCCTTGGACAAAATGGGTTCGTGAGAGGACAAAACTGGACCTGAGAGGCTGTGATGCGACAAACCCAGTTGGCGCGTTATGAACACATCCTGGCATCTTCAGCCCAGGAACAACCGCGTCTAAGTGGGACTGGGTGAGCGTGTGGCCTCTCGCAAAACAGCCCTTCTCCTTTCCATCGACAAGCCAAGAACACCAGGTGCTGTCCGAACCTGGAGCTCCGGTGGTTAAAAAACACAGAGCAGAGCCCACCAACAAGCCATGGCAACTGTTGGGTAAACTTTGGGTTGGTTGACCCCTAAACAACCCATGGTTTTAGATTCAGATGTCACAATAACCAAGGAACAAGGGCTGCCACTCAGTCTCAATGTCTGGGAATTGTCATTGACCGGGTTTGCATGACATGGCAAGCTATCGTGGGCTGTTACTCACAATGGGTTGATGTGTCATCCAAACCTGCCAATTCCCAAAGGGCAGCTTGTTTGAACAACCCACAGGTTGTTCCTGTGATTGTTGTACCCACAATGGGTAGTTGATCATGCTGTCTGAATGGGAGTGACTGGTTTGAAGGTACCAGTCCTGCAAATCAAGGCAAACAGGGTCCACATTGAGTTATTTTTTCCCTTGCTTTTTCTCGACAGCTGTCAAAAGGCCAACTGTCCAGGGAAAGAAGATGCATGAGTGGTCTTTGCTCGCAAAAAGGGGGTGGTGAGATTCATATTCCTTCCACATCCATCAAGATGCCAAGATTCCTTCCCTGGCTCTCTGGATAATCCTCAGGTAATGCACATCCTGTGCTTTTTTGCTATGACTCTGTTTTAGCTGCTTCTTGTCATGGGCAAACCAGCCCCCCAGGATATATTTCTGCATAAGCACGTGAGCTACTGGCCATCACTACCCGTAAAAACAATGCCTTCAATTCAATTTCACTGGGATGAAATTAGTTTTGTTAGTTCAGCTGGTCTTCCACCACCTCTCTTTCAGCTGTCCTCCAAGACTGGGCGTATACTAGGCTAGGAGAAAAGCAGTGAGTGTGTACGGATGAATCTCGAGTGTGTGGGTTAAATGGGTCGCTTTGTTCTTCCTCACTCCCACTTTTACATTATTTTGCATTTGCAAGACAATGCCTTGGTTCAAACTAAGGTTGAGTTCGTAAAATGCAAGGTATTGTGTTGTTTGAGCCAAGCTGTGCTAAAAAAATTATGGTGAACGACCCACAATTCACAGCCCAACAACAAGCCACACGCTCTCTTTGTGGGTTGCTTGTGGTTAACAAATCAGGGCTTGTTAGCACAGCTGGGTTCCGACAAGACAGTAGCTGAGGTTTCACTAGCCATTCATGTTTCAGCAACAGCCCACACTCAACCCAGCCAGACTATCCTTCTGACCCTAGAAGAAACCCTGGCATTTGCTAGACCTGTGTTATTTTGAGGATAAAGATCTGACACATTTGGAGATGCCCTCCTTTTTCTGCCATCGATGCAGCAAAAGCTTTCGGGCAAATGCGCTGCCACTAAATATTGATATCTAAGAGACATCAGATGCTCGTCCTCATTTTAGCTCCTGGGCTCAGGCAAGCTGACCTGGGAAACAGCATCAACGTAGGGCATGTTTAATGGCAAACAACCCCTCTGTTTTGCCTGCTTTTTTTAAACCTTTACTGCTATTGATTTAATTGCACAACTGTTATGCAGCATCATGTTCCTAGAATTTTGTTAATTTCTCAACTTTTGAATGAGGACGGCAAGTGGAAAACCGGGCCCCTTCCTGTCCAAATGAGTGAGTCACACTATAACAAGAAAACATCACGTGGGGAAAAAGCGTATTAGCCAACAGCCAAGTTGAATCCTGGTCAAAATACACTGTCATTTCATTTGGCCATTCAGTATCCAAAGGCATTCCTTGAGCCAAAGGTCAGGCAAAGCATGGAGTTGTTCATTGCGTCACCCCCAGAATTTGCTATTAGAAGGCATGATGAGCGTTTGGGGCGGCAGCAAAACACCAGGTGCCCTCCTGCGCCTTCCAGGAACCTCAGGAGTTGCTCCTGACGCTGTGCTCAGCCGCCGGTTATTGGTGGAGTAGAAATCACATCCCGTGTTTGCATGTACATGCCCCCACCCCCACTTGGGATTAGAGTTTTCCTGGAGAACGTTTCCTTCCCCTCTGCAAGCATAAGCCATTCACTTCAGTGGGTAGACTAGAGATCTACTTTGAACTATCCTACGGAGTACAGTTTAAGTGGTTTCTTCACTCTTTGTCGGCAAGGAGCAAACTGCTTCTTGCTGTTTTCTCCACATTGCATTTTGGGAGACGGGCATTGCTAACCAGGTTTACTCCTATCTCCATAAAAGATGAAGTTCTCACTGTCATTTAAAACTGAAAGCTAGTTAATCACCCGGCCTGGCTGGTATTCCTCCTAAAGCTCTTGAAAAGCTCACATGTGAAATTGCAGATCTAACAAAGAGAAGTACTATGTTCCTAAACTTAGCCTAGCAGAGGACAGGAGAATGGCCAATTTAACACTTTTTTTTTTTTTTCAAAAAAGGGACCCATGAAATTAAGGCTGATTAGCTTTGTGAGAAATGAAAAATTACTGTGACTAAGCGGTAAGGTGAAAACCAAAGAAAGGGTGAAATACAGGGCTAGGGTAGGATCACTGAATTCCTTGAGGGCAAAAGGACTGAGGATAGAACCATGTAAACAGTTCTACTAAAAGTAATAGTGTTTCTTGCATCAAAGTCCTGAAAAATACCAGAGAGGGTAAAATTGGGGGGGGGGGGCCAGTGGTAAAACTGTCACCTTTAGTGGAAGAGAGCAGGAAATTGATTGCCTTTTACAACTGGCCGTAATGAGCCTGGAGGAAGGTCCGTTCGTCCTGTCTCATCCTCCCACGAGAATTAAGAAACAAGTTGGCGTCAAGTGAGAATCTACAAGGCCACGCGGCCTGTTGACCTCGTAGAAGGTACTGCGCACGCTTAATAGGTTCATGAATAGCGACTGACACACCTCTCACAGGTAACGGGCTCATTAGCATGAACATGGGATGTATGAGCGGGAGGGGGAATATATCGAGGAGTAGCATGATGTAGGTGGACGGAGAAGATTGTGACTTCCTAGTAACCCAGCCAGTGGGAGAAAAGAGGCAGGGTCTGCGAGCCGGGAAAAGGGAATACAAGGCAAGGCCTTTTGTGGAGACGGTGTGCTGCCTCTGTGGTGGGCGCCTGCTCTTGCAAGAATGAATTAAACTGTTACTGCTTGGTACTTTGCCTCCGTATCGTCACTGCTGGGATTTTATTCCTTACAGCTTTATGTTTATTCCTGGTAAATAGGTGGGAAGCTCACTGGAGCTAAAAGTTAGCGAGCATGTAGAAGGATCAGCCCTGCTGGGAAAGAATTGGTACGGTCCACAGGATAGGACACTAGGACAGGGCAGACCTGATACACGCTGCTCACTTGGGTTGCAATCCCATGGCATATACCAATGTCATCCAGGGGGGATTAGATAATTTGGGGTCCCAGCTGAAAGGTCTCCCCCTGCACGCACAGCAGGCTGCCTTTCCCGGGTTGCAAATTGACCTCGGAGAGAAGGGGCCTGGAAGAGGCAGGGATGGTGCAGGCTGCAGCCTCCACCTCTCCAGGTTCACACCTCCAGGTTCACTCTGACCCTCCTCTCCCTTGCAGCCCACGAGGTTGGAAAAGTGACCTGGAAAGGGAGAAAAGTGGGAGATATGGAGGCTGCAATGCCTCTGTCTGGATGAGGGAAAACCTGCCCAGCACCAACACAGCGAGGATGGGGAAATGAAGGCGTTTGCTTCCCTCTCCGGTTTGGTGCTCACTGGTCTCCAAGATCAGGGGATCGAGGGCATCCCAATGGGACTGCACCCCAAAGCAGCCAAGGGCCCTGCGTAACCCCTTTAGGAGGAGAAGCCACAGTGCCTGAGATGTTTAGCTTAGAAAAAAGGGGAGCAGAAAAATAGATGACGGAGGTGTTCAAGACTACGCATGATACAGGGAAGTTAGAAACCTTGTTCTCCTGCTTTCCTGATGCTGTAACCCCAAGGGGACCATCCCCTAAATTGTGGCAGATTTGGGACAGTTAAGGGACTCCTTCACACAACTATACAAGTCATGTCCATTCAATGCAGAAAAGGGTCACTGCTTTGGATGGTTTTGAGAGAGACAACCGGGCAGATTCAAGGAGATCCAAGGCTTCCAGTCCCAGTGGCCACCTCCACTGACCACCTATACCAGCAGCTAGGGAACATAGGCAGCAGGGTATTTTGGCTCTCCTGTCATCTTTGTGGACTTCCTGTGAGCAGCTGGCTGAGCACCGTGCAAACAGAATGCTGGCCTGGATGGACACTTAGACTGACCCAGTGCAGCTCTTAGGATTCCCTCAACGGAAGCCCTTTTCTCCTGAAGAAGGGGATTCTCCTCCTCAGATCCCTGGAAGCTGCCTTCCCCACCTTCTAATGCTCCTTCCCCAGGCAAGCTTCACAGCTTCCAGAAACTGGGGGTCTCTTTAGAGACCCTCAGTCTCTCAGCCCCTCTGCTGCAGAATCTCTCTCTCTAACCCGGAATGGCCAGACAGGCAAGGAAACTGGTGGAGAACCCTAAAAAATCCCTTGGAAGCCATACAAATACTATGCTAACCAAGAGCTCTAGTGGAGCACTTTCTGTCTCCTTGGCTCACAAAACACCACAGGTTATCCCAGACAGACAGATCTATGAGGTTGGTTGAGCTGGGAGTCCTGCACCAGGCAGGGGGTTGGGACCCAGTGGCTCTCTGGCCCTTCCCAACTCTACTTTTCTAGGATTCTGTGCTGCAAAGCGCCATGCCAGTTCCAGACCGGTGTTCCGAGTTCAACATTCTGAATGCATTCTGCAGCAGGGCGCATGGGCTCCCGTCTTTCTGCAAGGCGCACTTTTCGTGGGTCACCCCTCAGTTGTGACTCGCCCTTGCTCCGGATGGCGTGGGCCCAGGCTTGTGGAGGTAGCGATTCCAGACCTTGTGACCTGGAGGTGTCCTTTGATCGCCAGGATCTATTAGCCCTGGCAAGTGGCTCGGGCATTTTGAGGACCTGGGCTGTGTGTGTGTGTGTGTGTGTGAGCCCTTTCTGCACTTGAGCAAGCTTTAAGTGCTGCCTTGTGGCCTGGCTTGCCACCTCACTTCCGAGATCATTTAGCCTGGCAAGCAGGGCCTTTGTCCAGGTGGGGAATTGTCTCCCTTGGGATGTGGACATGACCCCATTTTCATTGGCATCTCAACCCTAAAAAATATCTTTATTTCAAGTGGCTTTTTCATATGTGCTGCTCTGCATTGATTTTAACAGTTTGTTTTAACAGCCATCCTGTATGGCTGAAGGGGAGACTGCATTTTTTTCTATGTATTTATGTTCTGATCAAATCCTTTCCAGGCCAAAACCCTCCCAACGTGCCATTTAAAGCTTTGAGCTTGTTTACCTCATTGCAATATCCCCAGATGACTGTATGAAAAAAAACCCCTTACTCAGAACAGGTACTCATACAGAAACAGAGCGGCTTCCTCCAGTAGCACAGCCAAGCTTTTTGCCAGAAAAATCCGAACGCTCTCCTTACATCAGATGCAGAAGCTGGGCAAACCCCGCCAACCCCAATGGGGGCTGAGCAGAAGCCGCTCAGTGTGGGATACAGGCAACTGCCAAGAGCTGTTTGCTTGCCTCGCCATTTGGGGAATGACTGGCCAAAGCTTATTTTAAGAGGTCAGCGAAATGTGGCACTGCTTGCCGTGGGAATGAAACCCAGTTGCCACATATTAAAATCCCATTAAGGGGATGTGCCAATTTGCCCCCAAAGCCCGATCCCCCGAGAAAGAACCGGGTTGAGAAAGCATTTATATTCCTAGTTGGAATCACCAAGTGAGCCCCAACTTAAGATGCCCTGGCACCACCTGCTGGAGTCTTTGAGAAGGCAAGGAAACAACAAGTTCGGGGTGTATTACTTATATACATATACCTTTATTACTTTCCATGTACCTTGTACTCACATCTACAGACTGGAAAACACACAGGCAAATACATATAAATGGACATTGAGCGTTACATGATTGTGGGCTAATATACAGGTTGGCACTCAACCAAGCGACCGGCAGTTTACTTGCAGCAGCTGCATTTGCTGGCCGGGGGCCCTTTGCAGATGCAGCCCTGGGCACACTTGGTGCATCCCACGGGACAGCAGGAACAGCAGCCTGGAAAATGGAACGGGAAAAATCAGGTTCATGATTTGAGGGGATTGAAAGCGGAGCGAAGCAGGGCCGAGCCAGGGGCACAAGGCTAGGACGTGAATCTGAGAGGCTCGGGTTCGAGTCCTGACATTTACCCCAAGTGCGGCAACAAAGCGGAGACAAAAGCATTGCAGACACACGAAAACAACAGGGTGAAATTCAGTAAAGACTCTGCAGTAGGAACTCTGCAAGAAGTCAAGTTTCTAGATCTCAGTCTTCAGTCGTCCATGCTTGCTTCAGCCAAGGGTAGCAGACTTTGCACCTGCAACCCCCATAATCCACACCCACATTCCCTTCAGCAGCAACACCTGTGGCGTGTGTGAAGAGCTCACAGCACTGCTTTGGCCAGGATCCTTCCAGGGCTGTTCCAACACTCATCCCCTTGCAGGGGGCAGATGACGTGCGTGAAGCACGCAAGACCTAGAGAAAGTTGATTCTTCCTGTCCGGAAGAGCTTTTTACCAGTATTCCTTGACAATATGCCTTGTAAAAACTGTGTGTGTACGCACAGTTGGGAAGGCTTGGGAAGACTGCACCAAGTTAATATATTTTACAACAATCCTGTGAGGTAGGTCATTATGCCTACAATTGTATATTGCATGTGGGGAGACTGAATGTGTTAGTGTCTGTTTAAAGGCACCTTTTCAGTTCGTGGCTGGAATAAATTTCTCCTGCTAGGAATCAAATAACCCCTCCACTTATCCATGGATAGCCACTTGTGCTTATGTGTTATGCAACCTTCCAGGCCTGGCTCCTTCCAGCTCCCAGAATTCCTGACCGTGTTGGTCACGGCTGATAGGGCTTGAAGCCCCAAACCTTTGGAAAGCACCAGACTGTGCAGGCCTCTCTGAGAGGGCATCTAAGTTGCCGTCAAGCTGTCTTAGCCGCTTTCCGTCTGCTCTGGTGCCATGTAATTGCCCCGTATCCCTTATCTGGCCAATTTTGCCAGCGTTGTAGCATAACCCAAAACTACTCCTCCTTGCAAAAATCAGAGATTTCAAAACGTACAAAGCTGAATGACCCAGAACAGGGGAAACAAGCTGCCCATACTCACTCTTTTTACACGATTTGCACTTGCAGTTTTTGCACTGACAGTTGTTGCCACAGGTGCAGGCACCACCTAGGAGGGGTGAGAGGAGAGCCATTAGAACTGCGTGGGGCTGGAACTCAGGAACGGTTGCCAACGGAGCATTGCTTACATGCATGCACTTGTGAATAGGTACACATCTTACAGGGACCCCCAGGCCCAGTCTGATGTTCAAGAAGCAAAGCCAACTTCCCTCCCCGTAAAACAAGAGCAGGGCTGGGAAAGGCACGGAATTCCACTGCAGCACTTCGAGTCCTTCAGGAGTTTGAGAAGTTTATTTATTTATTATTTATTAAAACATTTTTATGCCGCCCCATTCGCCGAAGCCTCGGGGCGGCTTACAAGTTCTTTTTAGCATCAAAAAATATGTTACACACATAAAGAGGCAAGGAAAGAATTTTCCACATTTGGTACAACTTAGCATCTTAGATGCAAGCCTACACCTATTTAGATGGGGGGGGATCTAGGTCCCCCCCCCATCTAAATATGCATCAGACTGGACCTTAAATCAACGTCCACCAACCAAGCACGCTCGAGACAGTAGTCTGGATGATAGCCCCATCGTCCCCTGCCAAGAAGGGGCCGCATCCCCAACCCATCCAAAAAGGAGAGGCTGGTCTGAACTCAGCGTCGCACACGCAGGCACTCGCTTCTCACTAGCGGGGAAAGAAGCGGGCAGCGCCCGGCTCGCGAAAGCGACACGCAGAGCCCGCTCGCCCGCCCCCTCCGGCCAGCTGGTCCGGGGGGCGACGCAGCCGGGCGCGCCCCGGCCCGGCCCAGCCCAGCCCGCGCCCTCCGGAGGGGCTTCTCGGGGGAGGGCCGGCGCCACTCACCGCTGGCGCAGGGACAGTCCTGGGAATCCATGGCTGGCTGGCTGGCTCGTTTGCTCGCTCGCTCGCGCGTTCTCCCGGGGCACGTGCAGCGCAGTTCAGCCCGGCGCCGCGGCCGCCGCAATTTATGTCCGCTGGCGGGCGCGCCCCGCCCAGGGCCGCCCCACGCCGCGCCCTCCGCGTGGGCGAGCCGGGGAGGGGCGCGGGTCCGGCCCGGCCGCGCAGCGCCGCCTTCGGGGCTCTCCTGCGCGGGGGGCCCTTTCGGAGCGGCTCTGGGAAGCGAGCCTCCCCGGCCGGCCGGCCGCCCGCCGCCCAAGCCCCATCCATCGCAACGGGCTTGCTCGAAGCTTGGGCCCAGTGTAAGCGTCCCGAGACGTTCGCAGGGACGGGATAGAAAAGCTTTTAATCAATACAGTAAATAAAAAGAAAACGAAACAAATGCTGCTTCAGCTTAGGCCTGGCTCAAGCCCCATTCATTTCAGCGGACAATTCTAAGGCATGCTCTTATTTTCATTTCTATCCTGCCTTGTCCTCTAAACGCAGCTTGCATAATACTCCTGCACTTCTTTTCATCCACATAACAACCCTGTGAGGTGGGTTATTTTTAGGGCTGGGACATGGATCCCTTCAAGCACTGCTCCAAGCAGCTGGTCCTCATGATGGGATGGCATCCTGGGGTCTCTCTGATCCTGATTTGGGGCCTTCCCAGACAAGCAAATGGGGAGCCTGGCACAGCTGGAAATGTGGATTGTCACCACGTAAGCAAGTGACGATGCGTTGGGACCAGTGGGAACCATGAAACGATCCATGGATAACCTGAACCGGCTATTCTGGGCATCTTAATCCGGCCTTTGGGATTAGCAAAATGACCACACTGTTGCCACTTTCCTGGCTTTTGTATGGTGCCCCCCACCCCACCTGTTTTAAAGACTTCGTTACAGAATTACTGGCAGTAAGAGAGACAAGGTAAAATTACACGGGTGTCCAGACTCCACCACCATTGCCTTCAGCCCCCCCCCCCCCCACCCCCCCCCAGCCCCCTTTTAATTTCAGACCTTGGTGAAAGCTCTTTCTCTGCTCCTCAACATTAACCGTGCATCTCAGTCAGCTTGGCTGGCCTTTAATTTCCTGGCAGCTGAGATTTTGCAGGGATCAGAAAGGGACCTCAGGCCCTGAGAGCAATGCTGGCCCTCGGGGGCATCCCCAGCAGGCGCCCCCTGCTTCCCGGGGCTTCTTTTTCTGTTTAATCCTACATGGGATTGTGGCCTAACATGCAGCTCTCATGGGAGCCCGCAGGTTTTGTGAAGGACGGTCCGGCTTCGTTTCCCACCGCGTGACTGGCACAGCGCTGCTTGCCCGTCTTTCCTATCTGCTTGCCCACCAGATGTTCAACTATGAGGTGTGTGATGCTTGAGTTGTGCTCTGTAGAGGGAACAACAATTTGCACAAACTGGGTTACCGCAGCTTTGCAGTTGTGCCCCCAGCAAATGGCACGCGTGCTTTCTCCCTCGTTTGTGTTTTGGAGGCAACAGTTTGGCTGAGACAAATATATATCAAAGATGCAGGTTTGACCACTCATTTGCTCTGCGGTTTGGGAAGAAGAATTTTTAAAAGAGTTGCTAAACCAGGGTGAATAACTGAAGGGTAGGCTTCTCCTTCTATTCATAGCTGTCCCTGACCTAATTTCCAAGGCTGCTGAGCACAAAGGATTAAAAAAAATTAAATGCAAAGCATTAAACGCATTTTTTTAAAAGTGAAATCACAGGTACTTGCAGGTCCAGGCATGAAATGGATTCCCTGCCGCTCCTTGCCTTGAAGCGTCCGTCTGTAAAATGGGTATAAAGCATATTCATCCAGCACCTTTGCTAAAGATAAGATGCTGTTCTGGCTGCAGCAGAGGTTGGAGTTTCAAGGGCCATGTCAAGCGCCGTCTGCCGTATTCGGCACGGAGCAAAAGGGTGCTCGGTGGATCTCTTACAGACCTTCCCGGGGGATAATTGCATGACAGAAATACAAACCCCGTCCAGATGTGTTTATGCCACAGTGTTTGCCAGCTGAAAACTAGTACTAAGCAGACACGAAAGGTTATTAAGTTCTACAAATGCAATTTATCTCTTGACCACACATGAGAATATGATACCAATTAATGGCAGCTTGAAAGCTACAAGACAGGAATTTTCCGCTCTCTCCTGCAGGAATAAACAGCTGTCTCAGAGAGCGTGGGGGGGGGGGGGGGCTTGGATTCTTGTGAGGTTAAGCCATTAGACTGGGACACAGGAGGCCTTATCCAAAACCCCAAGCAAAATCCCATTTATGCATCACCGTTTTTGCCCTGATCAAGCTTGTATATTGTAATGGCAGCCCAGAGAGCAAGTTGCTAACGGGTGGCTTAAAAAAAATGAAATAAATAAATGAGTTCCAAGGAGCCCAGGTGTGGTTAACTTGTGGCTCTCCAGGTGAGTCTGGGAGGTTTGGTCAGCCTGCTCAGGATGGCTACCTGCATCACTTGGGAGGAGATGCTCCAACCGCCCTTGTTATCTTTATAAACTTCCCAGTCACGCCGTTTCCACACATTTGAGCAGGAGGCAAACAGCTGATCCTTCTTGGAATGCTCCACCCAGAGCCAGCCAGCACGCTTGTGCTTTGGGATTTGCATCCTGTGTTAGTCTGACCTTACGGGGAGGCCCATGGTAAAGAATCAGCTCGCGTCAGCCATGATGTGTTTAAGCAGGTCCCTTCCAAAAGACCAGTGGGATGCAGGCGGTCAGGGTATTGGACTGGGACTCTGGAGATCTTGGGTCTAGTCCTTACCACCCCAGCCCTAAAGCTCACTGGATGACTTTGGGCCAGTCACAGACTCTCGGCCAAACCCACCTCACAGGGTTGTTATGCAGATAAACTGGTGAGGACGATTTGGCAGTGCCTTGCCTTCCTTGCAGGGGAAAAACATACGTAATTTTGTCTTTCTGCTGGTTAGCCTGAGCCCTGCATTATCAATGCCAGCAGGATCAAGCAGTTGGGGGAGAGCTGCACCCCAGGAATGGAAGAGGAAGTGCATCCCAAGGTGCTTCTGAGCTACTCGGGGGGAGCATCCGTTGGCTGCGTGAGCTGACGGCCAGCCAGGTTCGTGCAACGCTCAGCCAGCCCTTGGGCCCTCTTCCCCGAGGCGACCTGCGTGGCCAGCTGCTGCCATAAATTATTCCAGTGATCCCTTGGATCATCCCATCAATTTCTCTATGAATTAGCAATGGTTGCTAACAGGCCCAGGAGGCTTCCCAGTGTGCATGCTGGGAAAAGTTTGCTCATGTGGAAGGATGGGAAAAAGGCAGGCAGCTGCTGGAGTGTCTTTCTGCCTGGAAGCAAAGCTCTGTTCGGGTCTGGTGAGGCAGAGTACTGGCACATCTTTGCTTACAGCTCTTTTTGCTGGTACCTCTGCCTTGAAAGGGGCATCACTCTTTTAGGATGGGGAGAAACTTGCGAAGCTGGGAACCCCCCAGCAAACAGGTATTGGGGAAGTGGGTGTCGAGGGGGAGGGGCGCCAAGCAGGAGGGGATGGGGGCAACCAGGCTGGTCCGTCGCTTGCCCAGAATCCGTGATGTAAAACTCAGGCCTTACGTTCTGTTGCGAATATGCAAGTGTGCCTATTTCCCATTGTGTGTGGCTTGGCCTTGGGAATGTTTGGGGTGTGAGGGTGGCTGGAGCAGCCCCTTGGCCCCTCCTGCTTTGTGGCCGTGTCCCCACTCGCCAGAAAGTCCCAGAGAGACACACCCTGTAGGGTCTCCCCAGTGCAACACCCTCTCCTGGTTCCCTAGGTTCGATTCTGCAGCCCTGGCACATCTCCAGGTCTGTTGGATTACAACATGACCAGTGGCCTTCCTGGCTGGGGATGATGCGTGCAACAGTCCAACTCATCTGGAAAGCACCAGGCTGGAAGAACTTGAGATATCGACGGGTTTCACACAACATATGCAAAGGCATGTGGGTCCAAACCTGGGATGGTTTGGCTAGTCTGGCTTCCGAGCCACGCTGTAGGGTCCCCTTGCCTCATGGTGGCTTGCTGTGTTGCCCTAACCCAAATGATGTGACCTGCGGGGGCCAGCCAGACCCCTGAAGGAGGCACTCGATAAGAGAGGCAAACGAGGCTGCAGGCATGGAGCACCCTTGCATCCTCTCGCTCCCGTGGCTGCCAGCGGGCACACCAACAGGGCTTGGGTAGGTGGCCCCCCCGGCCCCCCCACGCCCTGAAGCAGATCGCACCAAATGCCAGCAGGCAAGCCAACCTTGCCAAGTTCGGCACAAACACAGGCAGCTGCTGCTGAAAAGCGGGTTTGCTCACCAGCAGGCCTGCTCCGTTGGCATCGTCTTCGCTTGCCAGCCGGAGCGGAGGCGGCCCTGATCCTGGGTGCCCCCTCCACGCACACACAGTGGCGGCAAGCAGGAGCAGGGCTGCCTTCGCTCCAGCCGGCCTGCATTCCGCGCGCCGGCGCTTAGGACCGCCGTGCTCGGGCAAGCAGCAGCTTCGCAGTCCTGCTGCCTGCGGGGCTTTGGAGGCAGCAGTTGGGATAGCCGCAGAAGGACCAAGGCGGGGACCCAGCCCAACACAGCAGCGCAGCCCCCGTGTGCAGCCCCCCTGCCGTGGCCACCTCCACCACTCCCTTCAGGAACAATGCGTCATTGCACTGCAAACAATGGCCTTCAGGCTGGGCACTGCTGGTCCGCCTGGAGCAGGTCGAGGGGAGAGTTTTCTGGAAAGGGTCTGGAAGGGAAAGGGTTCTTTCTGAGCGCAGTGAGCCAGACCTGGGGGAGCTGCCCAGCGGGGCCGGCCTGGGGTGTTTGCTGCCCCTGGTGGGCGAAGGACCCAGGTGCCCCAAAACCGACATGGTCCAGGTGCCAAAAGCCCACGAGCGTGAGCAGCGAATCTGCTTGCTGGACATAAGACGGGGGTGGCGTCCTCCACGGCACCCACAGGCTGCCCTGAAAATGAAGGCTTGCGGAGTAGTCCCAGGGCGCGCAGCCCTCTCCTGCCCCGCGGGGGCTGTTGTCTCGCAGGTGCAGCCGCCCACAGCGTTGCCTCACCTCGGTCATGGTGGGGCAGTCCTGCCATGCAAAGCCTGAAACAGAC